CTTCTTTCTCATAAACAATATCGATAATCCCCAAGGTGATATACTTCGTTGATAAATCCATTCTTTAGCAAATCTTCAATCTACTTCTTAGCACAAGCTAATTCAGATGGTGGACATTCTATAAGGAGCCTTTGATATTGGTTCGGGTCCATGAACCAATTCATTACGAACTCAACTTTCCTTTCAGGGGTAATCCAGTCATCTCCTATGAAAATACCTTTGGAAACTTGCTTAGTACTCCAATCTTCTCAATTACACTATCATACACCATGCTGGCTGTAAAAATACCATATACGCATCATAACCTTACTGAATCAGCTTGTCAGCACTCACTACTAATAGAACCTTAGGTTGCTTTGAAGATTCCATAGCTGCGCATAACACTAGTAAGGAAACTACTCTTTTGGCACAATCAAGCATAGCATTATTTGCTGCTAGCCAATCTATGCCAATTATCACATCTATTTCCTTCATAGGAATACAAATCAGATCGATCTTGCTGAAAACTCTATCCTTAAATTGAATCTCCACATTCTAAAGCTTGACTTGTAATACTAGATGATCCAGAAGGTGTTGTCACTTTAATGAGCATAGGTAATTCCTATAAAGATAATTCCAATTATCCACAACATTCCTTAGACATAAAAGAATAGATGGCACCAGAATTAAATATGCTTTTACTTTGTGACCATTTACAGAAATCATACCTCTAATCAGATTCGGAGATACTCTAGCCTCTTCTTGTGTAACCGCAAATACTCGGCCAGGAACCATCGATCTCTTACTCAGTCCCCTCAACTCTGCCCTCTTGGCATTGCCTCACTATATGACTTGACTTACCCACATTTGTAGCAAGCCCAGCACCTTCCCGAATGAGATTTGCCACATATATTGTATTGGGCATCCTTCCAATACTAAAGTCAGAGTTGGAACATTTAACGCTTGGCTCAAAGATTGTAGAGGCCTAAATCTCATAGCTCCACCCCTCTGTATTGACCCTCTATGCACAAGTCGAGACTACGATCCTCGACTGAAAACTCTTATGCCAGAAGAACTGGAACTGCTCGTACTGAACCCAGTCCTCTTTGAGATTCCACCAGTCGGACCCATAAGAGATGAAATCTTCCTATAGTATCTCATCTCCTTTTAGCATCTGCCTCTCTACCAGCCTAGTTGCTACTGTGTAACTTGTGGCACATTTCCTCATATGTCATCACATCAAGTAATGCTTTCT